TATCATTGAAATCACCAGTCTAATCCCAAACTAGATACAAATGCGTACATAGATGTATGTATACATGCATATGTATATTCATATATACACATACATGCATATGTATATACATACACATATATGTGTATAATTTTTATATAGTCAGTTAACCAGCATTTATTATGTACCAGGCATTGTTCTAAGAACCGGGGGTTCAAAGACAGGCAAAAAAACTTGAAAACCCATCCCCTGCCCTCAAGAAGCTCATAGTCTAAGGGGGGAGATCACATGGCAACAACTATGTAAAAACAAGATATGTTGACATATTGATATCCATATAAATATATATGTATATGTATTTATATACATATACATAATTTTGCTAAATATATATGTATATATATAAATTCTAGGGGTGATCTCAGAGGAAAGGCACAGGATAAAGGAATGGGAGAAGCTTCTTGCAGAAGGTAGGATTTTAGCTGAGACTTGAAGGAAGCCAGGGAAGCTAGGAGGTAGAGATGAGGAAGGAGAGTGTTTCTAGCATGAGGTACAGACAGGGAAAATGCCCATATTTGGGAGGTGGGGCGATATGGATGAGACAGAGCAAAGGACACATGGTGCAATGGATAGAAAGGTCTTGGAACCAGGAAAAACTGGGTTCAAGTTCTACCTGTGACCTATCCTGGCCACGTGATCCTTGGCAAGTCACATAACATCTCAGTGTTCTTGACAACTTTCTATGACTGTGAACTGCTGAGAAGGGGCTGACCTGCTGGGTTTGGGAGTTTCCTCACTAGGGACTTTCCGACACTAATGAAGTCATACATGTGAACCAAAAAATTACCCACCCAACCCTGCAAATCTCATATTTATATACATTAATACATGTATCAGTATTTTTAAAATTATTTAATATTTTATCTTTTCCTCAATTATATGTAAAAACAATTTTTAACATTTAAAAAATTTTGAGTTCCATATTCTCTTCCTCTCTTTCTTCCCTCCTCCTTTGATGAGAAGGCAAGCAATTTAATATAGGTTATATGTTACTTTTATTATCTAATCTGATAGAGGAATTTCCCCAATTAAACATTCCCTAAGTTTACTCACAGATCTTTCCTATTATTTTGGTCATGCATATATATATATATATATATAGTTTTAAGCTTGAATAACTAAAAACTGTACTGACTTTTATATGTGTGTATATGCAGTCTATTGAATTAAATATGTGCATATGACTATAAATTTATGTTCTATAACATGTACACAAACCATAAATGTTCTCATAATATTGACTTCTACAAGTATTTATTAAAGGGCTATTATTCACCAAGTATTATGCCAGGCATTGAGGATGCAGAGACAAAAATGAGACAGTCTCTCCCCTCAGAGAGCTTACAGTCTTCTGAGTTCATGACAAGACTTATTTATTTCTGAGACCACCTTATGGTCCTCCAAAAAACTCCTTTGCATGGAGCCCAAGACAAGCCTGCTATATCACAAGCTCCCTTAAATGAGAGAATATTGTTCTATTATGGGTGAAAGTATGTGACTCTATCTTGAGGAGATCAGTCAATAAACATTTATTAAGTGTCAGGAACTGTGCTAACTATTGGGGTTACCAAGAAAGGCAAAAGACTGCCTTTGTTCTCAAAGAACTCATGGTGTAATGGTGGAGGCAGCTTGTTAGCAGGTATTTGCAAAGGAATTATAGACAGGATAAATTGTAAATAATTAACTGAGGGAAGGAACTACTATTGAGGCAGATCTGGAAGGGCTTCCTGAAGCATCACAAAGTTCTTCATAAACTAACATAAATGAAATCACACTCAACTTACCTTGCAGGTCACCTGTGAAGACAAGACATAATCATTATACTGTCATTCTGATCCCCAAGCTCTCTCCAAACCTTGTAGCAGAGGATTATTGGCATCACTGGGATCATAGGGGGAAAAAGATAGAGTCAGACAAGGTGTATGTTCTCTCTTTGGTCAGGCCCATTCCCCATAAAATTCCAAAGGTTCCAGGTTCCAGCTGCTGGTATTGATGGTGGTACCAAGAGAAAAAGAAGGTTGGGTTGGGAAAGTAGTAGAGTAAGTAGAGGGGCACAGGACGGCAGCTTTTCTTTTCTTTTTTTTTTTAGGCAATTGGGGTTAAGTGACTTGCCCAGGGTCACCCAGCTAGTAAGTGTCAAGTGTTTGGTCTGAGGCAGGGTTTGAACTCAGGTCCTCCTGACTTCAGGGCCAGTGCTCTATCCACTGTGCCACCTAGCTGCCCCTGATGGGAGTTTTTAATGTCTGGGGTTTGATTTTAATAAGGTGTTCATGAACTTAAACTTTTTTTAGAAAAGGAAGGTGAGAAAATATTCATAGATTTCCAAAGATTAAACTTGCTGCTACCCCCCCAAAAAAAAAGCTGGTGGGGGAAGAGTACCCAGATCAGTTTCTGTCATAAATAACTAGAAGTTCAACTTTATATAAAATGAATTCAGTTTAATTCAGCTTACTTCTGTAGCTCGTTGTGTGCTGGGCACCTGGGTAGCTCAGGGAGCTATAAAAATCAGATAAGACAGAGCTCAGATTTTTAATCAGTTCAATTCAACAAACATCTGTCAAACACATCCCCTACGGTGCACAGCACACTCTGGTAGGCACTGTGGGAGGTATAGCCATGGTGAAAGTTTGGGAAGAGTCCAAGGAATCAATGCAAGGGACCCAGAATGAGCAATTAGAGAGGCAAGAGGTGAAGCCACAAGGGGGCGCTGTCAATGAATTTGGGTAAGGACGGAATGACTATCCAGTAAGAGAGTGAGCTCAGCATTGTCAAAAACTGCAGCGTTAAGACCAATGAGGAATGAGAAAAGATCATCAGATTGGATGGTTGAGTGACCTGAAATGTGCCCCTGTAGAGTAATGGGGATGAATGGAAGCCAAATTACATTGGCGCAAATAAAGCAGAGATGAGGAAGGGGAGATGACAGGTATAGACATTAAAACTGGACTGTATTTGCGCAGTGATTGGAAGGTATTAAAACTCACTGTTGAGAGCTGTCCTCTCCTAACATCTAAAATTCATTCATTTGTGGAAAATTATGAAAAAAAGAACTGTCTTTGATCATTTAGCTAACTGAACATGAAGGCACTACTTTGTGGGTGTGTTCTTGGGGGGAAGGGAAAGCAGGATTTATCCATCTCTCATTTAACCATTTTTTAAAATGTCTCTTTCAATATCATGCCTCAACTCTCTCCTGCCCTGCATCTAGAATTTGGAGGCTGAAATGTGTTTGGGGGAGCTTTGAGAAACCTTTCAAGAATTTCTGGCTAAGTCACCAAGGATTCTACTTTGAGAGACATGCTATGAGACTCTGGATTCAGAATCTGGGGTCACTGAATGCTTGCTAGGGGATTTTTTCCACTGGATTAGAATCTAAGGCAAAATAAACAAGATGAAGGAAGAAAGGCATACAGGGTTATTAGGGAAATCTCTCAGAAGACTATAGATAAACTGGCCATTTGTAAGAACAATGAGCTACCTGTGTGCTCCACTGGAATCCACACAATGTCAAGAAATTGAGAAGGCCCACAGTACATGGAGTGCTTCCCTCTCCCCACCAATCCACATGATGGGTTTATAATCATAGACAGGCACAGGTGGGTTGCATTCTATATATGTGATGGGAGGACCTACATTAGTAACATCAGAGATCTATTGCTGTAATGTAGCAAAGGAAAAAAATCTTCCAGTTCTGTATTGGTCTTTGTACATAAGTTTCTCTCAGAAGGTTAGAGCCCAAACAATCATTGGTTTTTATTTTCCTTTTTTTTTAAAAAAAAATCTTATTTCTTTATTCTGAATCTAGCAAACTCCAAAATGGAACATTTCCATATACAAAATAGAATAGAAAAAAAGAGGATTGTATGCAAAATCACAAATCTCTTGTGTATGGTTTACTTTTTTTTTTTTAAAGTACATAATTAATTCAACATGTTACTTTCAAAGCTGTCTTGCTTGTCTGGATTTCCTTCTAAACTTCCTTCTGTTCCTTCCTGCGCATTTAAAAAATGCTTCAGGAGACATACTTCTCTTGGATGAAATGGCACATCCTTCAAACTCCAAGTTGGGGTGCTCTTCAGCTTTTTTGTATCATGGACCATTTGGGCAATCTCATAATGCCTGTGGATCCCTTCTCAGAATGTTTTAAAATTGTATTCAGTTGTTTCAGTCATGTCTGATTCTTTGTGACCCCATTTGGGGTTTTCTTGGCAAAGATGTTGGAGCGGTTTGTCCATTTCCTTCTCCAGCTCATTTTAAAGATGAGGAAACTGAGGCAAACAGGGTTAAGTGACTTGCCCTGGGTCATACAGCTAGTAAGTGATGGAAGTTGGATTTGAAATCGATTGTATGGAATTATACCCATTAAAGAATTTTTAAAAACAAGATCATGGACCCCTGATTAAGAACTCTTGTTCTAAGTAGAAATGAAATTAGATGAAAAGCTTTAAATGGTAGTACTTACAGATTTTTAAGCTGGAGAGAGAATTTAGTGAGGCAAAAGGTATACTGCCAATAGAATCAGAGTATGTGAGTTCAAACCTCATCTCTGAGGCTTACTTCTTTCATCAGCTTTGGGCATCTAACTTCATCTTTCTGAGCCTCAGTTTCCTCATCTGTAAAAGGAAGGGTCTGGATTAGAAAGGCTCTGACTGAGGTCCCTTCTAGTTCTAAATCATTTATCTGTTATCTTAGCTATATTTTCTCGGAACACTTAGAGCATAAGGTGAAAGTGATTTAAAAAAATATGCTTTTGGTTGGCAGCAGATTGAATGAAGGTGACCCTGGATTTTTCTTTCTTGACTGTTTGTTCAAACCTTTCTCTTTAAAAATTCCTCCAATGGGTTGATGCAGAACCAGTGAGATTAAAACACGTTTCACCCACCTCACTCAACCAGCTCGCTGAGTTTATGATTGACTAGTTGCCCAGTTTGCTTATTGAATGTCCTGGTTTTCCGGTGCACCCCAACCCATGGAAGTGGATTGGTGAGGAAAGCCCTGTAATGGGACAAAGGCCAACACACCACCCTGCCTGGGAACTCCTTCCTCTGTCTCATGGCTGATCTCAGGAGGATCCTTTCTGAGCTGACTCAGAGATTTTTATTGGTAAGTCTGGAACCAGGAGGGACCAGGCACCTTTACGCTATTCAATAGAATAAGATTGATTTAGTCCTGATTCGGCCAGGTTTTCTTTTGGGATTGCTGATTTGGGGTCTGCTTCTGTTACAATAGTGAGAGTGAATAGCTGTGAATGAACTGTGGATGTTGCGTTGATTTGGAGGGTTTCTTTTTAACCATCCTTAAGGAAAAATGAAAGGCAGTGTGGTATAATGGATACTGCTCGAGAGCAAGCCTTGGAGTCAAAATGACCTGAATTCTAGTCCTCTCTCTGACATATACTGACTCTGTGACCCTGGGCAAATCACTTAACCCCTTTGGGTCCCCAAGTAACTCTCAAAGACTTTAAACTGCAGAGCAGGTGGTGATCTGCATTGGTGGAGGGAATCTACTGGTCTGAAGTTCCATATAGAAATGTAATCACAGGACTGGTCCTAAAAAAGGTGAAATTATATAGTAATAAACTGCTACATATCTTGATTTTCAAAATGTTTTGAAGGAGGAGTATAAGAGGTAATAAAGAAAATGTAAATTCAGGAAAAGAAACTGGACATATGTATGAATATATTCTGTAATGTAATAGGCATACACATGTGCAAATTTATATGTATGTGCACAATATGTATACATGTGTGTTCAAATGTACACGTTATATACATATACATGTTTATATAAATTTTGCCTTAATTAGGTGATAACTCTGAAATGGGCAATTAGTATTATTAGCAATTCATGAAAGATAGTATGGTATGTTGGGAAGAAATGCTGGGTTTGGAGTGTGAGAATCTGGATGCAAATTCCAGCTCTGTTACTTGTTACCTGTGTGACCGTGTGTAGTAATTCACCTCCCTGGGCCTTAGTTTTCTCTTCAGAAATAAAAGGAGGAGATTGGACAAGATGGCCTTCATTATCTTTTCCAGCTCTAATTCTGTGATCGCTAAAATTCTGGTGTTTTGGAAAATGTGACATAAAGGCCTGAAAAATAAAGTTCCCTGGAGGAGGTTACTTCCCTCTGGGTCTCAATTTTCCCAGCTATAAGTTGAAGTTAGTAGACTAACTGGTTAATTGAAGGGCTAGCCTAGCTGATACCTAAGGTTTCTTCCAACTTTGTTGACCTGTTTCCATAAGAAGTTATTGCTGCTCAGTTGTTTTTCAGTCGTATCCAACTTTTTGTGACCCCATTTGGGGTTTTCTTGGCAAAGATGTTGGAGCGGTTTGTCCATTTCCTTCTCCAGCTCATTTTAAAGATGAGGAAACTGAGGCAAACAGGGTTAAGTGACTTGCCCAGGGTCATACAGATGGCAAGTGTCAGACGCCAGATTTGAACTCAAGAAGAGGAGTCTTTTTGATTCCAGGTCTGATGCTCTATCCATTTGCACCACTTATCTGCCTTTCCGTAAGGTACCTGAATTGATTTCAGCAGGTACAGCCTTCTACTAATGGGTCACTTGGAAATCAAAACTTATTTGCCAATAGTATCAGAACAGAGAAGAAAGCCATCAAAGATGCTTTTGCAGTGAAGTTGGGAAAACTCATTAGGTCTTCCCGTCTGATTTGAGAAAATTAGAGGCTGGAAAACAGAAGGAAAAATACAGAAATGAGGCTCAAGATGGAGTCTATATACCAAGGGTTCTGAGGTAGTTGGTGCTTAGGGTTCCTGCCTGTTTCAATTTGTTTCATTATTATCCCCAGTACTTAAACAAAGAGGGGCAGCTAGATGGTACAGTGGGTAGAACACAGGGCTTAGAGTCAGAAAGACTCACCTTCCTGAGTTCAAATCCAGCCTCAGATACTTACTGGCTGTGTGACTCTGGGCAAATAACCTACCCCTGTTTGCCTCCATTTCCTCACCTGTAAAATGAGCTGGAGAAGGAAATGGAAAGTCCCTTCAGTATCTTTACCAAGAAAACCACCAAAAAGAGGTCACAAAGAGCCAGACATGACTAAACGGTTGAACAACAACTTGCACAAAGATGCCAGTTGTCTTTAGCAAGTGGCAATTTCTCAAACAGATACCTGAAAAGAGCCTCTCCTAAAGAGTTCTGGGAGCCACCTTGAAGTATCCAATTGTTAAGTCTTCCATGTGAGCATTTACATCTCAGAAATCAGCAAAGGCTACAAATCAGGGCTTGATTTGTTGTTCTATTGATTATTTAGACTTAAGAAAGGAACAGAGAGTGTTAATAATGCAGATTAAACTTAAAAGTGTGTCCAGCATACATTTCCCCTGCCCAGAAAGCTGGTTGTTAAATATTTAACAGCATGCCCTTGAGTTCTCCTATCTTATATTTGTGACAGTTGAGTTTTGAAACCCAACCATAAAAACTTTGCATTTATTCATCTTAAATTTTACTTAATTTTATTCTGCCTGGCAACCTAGCCTGTCAAGATCTTTGTGTATTCTGCCCACCTTATCAAAGTGTCAACCATCCTTCCTTACTTTGTGTTACCTACAGATTTAATAAACATGTCATGTACACCTTTATTCAAGTCATAAATGAAAATACCAAACAGCACAAGGCCAAGAACAGATCACTGGGGTACTCCACTGGAAATATCCAAATTGACATCAAACCATTAATGAGTATTCTTTGGGTCTGGTCATTTTACAGATGACTAAACTGAGGGTCTAGTGCCATTTAACCAGGTCTGAATCTACCCAATCTACTGCTATCTAGCTCACATGTCCCTCGATTCCTAAGAATTTCATGACAGACTCTCTCAAACCAGACCCAGAGGAGCTATACTTGCAGTATTTCCCTCTTCTTCCAAATGAAATTTGGTTAGTCTGGTATGACTTGTTCTTGATGAAGTCATGCTGACTCTGTGATCACTGCTTTCTTTTCTAGATAACACTTTATATAATTATACATTCTAGAATTTTGTCAGAAATGAAAGTCAAGCCCATTGGCCTATGGTTTACAGATTTCCTTCTCTTTCCTTTTTGGAAGTCAGCACATTTGACGTTCTCTAAGATTACAGTGTGGTTGCCTTTCTATGCAATCTTTCTTTAAAAAATTTTATTGATATCTTTTGTTTTCATTTCACCTGTATTTCTGAATATATTTCTTCTTTCTTCCCTTCCCAGTTAGCCGTCTCATTCAGCAAAAAATTTTTTTAAAAAAATTTAATTATTTCAGCAAAACCAAATAACACATGAATCAAAATCTAGTGCTTAATAGTGCCTGGCATATAGTAGGCACTTAATACATGTTTTGGGGCAGGTAGGTGGTGCAGTGGCTATAGTGCCATACCTGGCCTCATCTTCCTGAATTCATATCTGGCCTCAGACACATAATAACTATGTGACCCTGGGCAAGTCACTTAGACCTGTTTACCTCAGTTTCCTCATCTGTAAAATGAGCTAGAGAAGGAAATAGCAAGCCACTTCTGTATCTTTGCCAAGAAAACCCCAAAAGAGCTGACAAAGAGTTGGATATGACTGAAACAACTGAACAACAATAAATGTGTATTGAGTAATTGATCTAAACTGACTGGGTTTGCAACATTCTGCACTGATAGTCCCCTGTCTCTGGTTTTCACTTTTTCTTCCTAGGATTACTTTTCCATCTGATCCAGGGGCAGAGACACTGAGACTTTCTTGACACCCTCCTCAGAGTGATTTATAGCCTGGGACCAGTGGCCAGTTGAATTTCCCTGGTATGGCTCAGTGGAGGACCGGGGCATAACTCAGCCACATCCATCACTAATCATGATTCAGTCTGCTGGCTTTCTTGATGATGCTATCTAGAGAAGGCAGCTGATACAGACAGTAATCGGCACTGGCAGCTGGCAGAAGGAGGGAGCAGCAGTCGTCTCTGTCCTCAAGAAATCCTTCTACCAAGGGAAGTTCTGCACAACTGTGCTCAGCTGGAAGAAGATGAGGCCAAGGTAGGAATCTAAGAATTCCCTTCTGCTTTTTAATGGTAGTAAATAAAATAGCTAGGTCATTGCAAAAATCCCCAGTGCACTTGGCCATGTAGTGAAAATAGAACCACCAAGCTAATAAGGCTCTCAAAATGAACATGGCTCATAGAGTGCTTAGAGATCAAATAGTACAGTCCACTCATCTTCTAGATGAGGGGGTTGTGGCCAGAGAAGTAAAGAGACTCGAATAAGGCGACATAAGAAATGTAAAATCAATATATTCATACATCAAAGATCCAAGCGGTAGCATGGTGCAGTGAGAAAAACAATGCATTTGGTGGCAGAAGACCTGGGTTCAAATCCTGCCTCTCTTAGTACCTGAGAGGCCTTGTCATACACAACCTCTCAATCCCTGTAAAATGCGTAGATTGGACTAGACAGAACTGGAAGGGACCTTGTTGTTCATCCTTTGTTTTCAAAGAGGGCCAAGGCCATCACTGTCTTGACTTGTGTGTGAATTGGATTTAAGTGAGGCAGAGTTGTACAAAGTCATCAACCTCACTCTCTCTTGGGTCATTGAAGTCCAGTGGCAGGACAAAAGCCAGAATGACTGGCGATGGCCCAGGCTGCCGTGGATGACCTTGGCATCTTTGAGGTCTGACCACGCTCTAAGCACCCCTTAGCTCCTGCTTCAGCTGCCTTGATGGCCATTGGAACAAATAGTTCTCATCTGCCTATTCTGCTGGGAGAAGTCTTCACATCCTCGGGGTAGATGTCTCCCTGACTCACCGACAAGTTTGAGGCCTGTCTGTTACCCTCAACCTGATTTAGCCTGTCTGCTGAGATGGTACTGGAGTGCGGCCTCTGCGCGTGCTGCAGCTTCTTGGAACCGTGGGTGAGAATTGGATGAAGGTGGACTCCAAAGGTAGATGAGCATCCCTGAAAAGGGCTCAGCAAGCCCTCGCCTCAGAGGTGCTACTCCTCCCTGAACACCCCATGCAGCCCAGAGGAGACTTTACAATCTACATGATCCCGTGATTCTGTAACTATAATCCACCAAAGACCACAGCCGCCAGTTGCTGATCACTTGGTAGATGAATCTTACAGACTTGCTGGAAGCTCAGAATGGTTGAAGTGACTTAGAATCGCCAATGTAGAGTTACAAGGGACCTTAGAGGTCCAAACTCCCTCCTCAGTTTACTGATGGACAAGGGAAGGTCACAGAGGTAGAAAGTGGCAGATCTGAGATTTCTGAGGCGTATCCAGAAAATACACATGGGCAGCCATGAAGGCAGCCTACTGACTGAGGTTCTACATCCCTTAGTCTTCAGGCTCTATTTCCTAGGACGTTGCTGGAAGAGAAACAAGAAACGATCAGAAGAAACTTAAGGCTTCTTTTAGGTGATGAAGTCGTCCAATTCGGCTGCAGAAGAGGGTGTGTGTAGGGCAGTAACACAAGATAAAACTGGAAAGGGGCTGGGTAGAGGGTAGAGGGCCTCAAATACTGTGCCAACACAGCCACCACCCTAGTTCAGGCCCTATTACTTCTTGCCTAGCCAATGCAGTGCCTTCCTGATTGGTCTCCCAGCCTCAAATGCCTTCCTGCTCCCAAATATAACCTACCAAAGTGATCTTCCTAAAGCTCAGATTTGACCTTGTCCCTCCCCTGTTCTGTAACTTTCTCTTAACTCTAGGATCTAATATGAACCCCTCTGTTGGGCATCTAAAGCCCTTTCCAGCCTGGTTCCAACCTGTCTCTCTAGGCTCATTACTCATTGCTCTTCTCTATGAACACGACAGTTCAGCTAAGTGGGCCTTCTTCCTGTCGCTTAGGTGTGACCCTTCATTTTCTACCTTTGTATTTTTGTACTGTTCTGTCCCCCCTGCCTGAAATGTACTCACTCCTCACCTCTACCTTTTAAGACGATTTGTTTCATTCAAGTTCCGTTCAAGCATTACCTATATAAAGCCTTTCCTGATTCCCTCAGCTATTAATGCCTGGCTCCCCAAATCAGCTTGTATGTATTTTGTCTATACGCACACGTACTTTCACATACATGTATGTAGGTATGTAAGCATGTATGTATGAGTGGGTGTATATGTATATATGCGTGTTATAAACACACACATACACACACACAGATTGTCTCTCTAGCTAGACTGTAAGAACGACCCGTCTTTTTAACCCCAACATCTGGCACAGGGTCTGCATTTAGGGATAGGGATGAGAACAGGGATTTCAATGTCTTGAGGAACTCCCAGGTAAGTGCGGGTCTAGCAGTGCAGGTCATCACTTTTTCTGAAATGTATAACCTTGGAGAGCTGCCTGGAATACTGAGAGGTTAAGTGACTTGTCCAGGGTCGCATAGCCAGCATATGTCAGACTGGGACTTGAACCCATATCCTCTTGGCTTTGAGGCAGGTGCTCTCTATCCACTAAGCCTCCCTGCCTCAGAAAGCAGCTAGGAGGGGATTAATAAAGGCTTGTTGAATGATTGAACCTAAGGAGTTTGGGCTTTATTTTATAGGCACATATTTCTTTAGTAAATAGGAATGAGAATCTCAGATATTAATGAACGTTGCTCAAGATCCAAATGCTTATATAATTCTATTCTTCCTCCTATTTTAGTATGGAAATGGGAGAGGATAGAAGGGAAGATGGAAGACTGCAAGAATGTTGTTTTGGTTTTAGGGGAGAGTTTTTGTTTGTTTTTTAAACACAGATGAGTTTAATTCATCAGAGGGTGCAGGCTTTTATGGTAGAATGGAAGCCCCATAAGGGCAGGAATGGTCTCATTTTGTTGTAGTATCTCCGGGGTCTAGCATGATACCCAGCTTTTAACAGGCAGTTAATAATAATCAGGGGGTGGATTTGGAGAACAATGTCACAGCTTCAATCTTATGCCCACGCCCACAGGATTAGTTCCTGCCATTTTCTCAAGACCTCATTATTCAACATTTCATCTGTTGCCATTCAGGGGCCTGCTGTGTCTAATGTATTGTAAGCTGAGAATGTTCCAGTTAGCTGGCATCTCAGCTCCATTTTGAAATATAATTTGAAACATCTAGGAATACATCAAAGACATATTAAATCCACCCACAAGAAACGTGTTGGAAGGGTAAGGTTCCAAGGCATTTCTCCAATATACACTGATCTCACAGGCCCCTGTGTCCGAACTATTTGAGGAGTCAGTGAATTGAGCCCCTGACTTTAAAATTAGAAAACGCGGTTTCAAATCCCATTTCTGATATTTACTTCCCGTGTGGCTTTGGCAAGTCATTAAACCTCATTGTGCCTCAGTTTCTTTCTCTGTAAAATGAGGGGATTGGACTAGATTGACCTCTAAGATCATTTTTATTTTGGTGAGGCAATTGGGGTTAAGAGACTTGCCCAGGGTCACTTAGCTAGGAAGTGGTAAGTGTCTGAGGCTAGATTTGAACTCGTGGGGTGGGTGCTCTATCCACTGTGCCACCTAGCTGCCCCTCAAAGGTTGTTTTCAGATCTAGCTCTGGTTCTTGATCCTATTACCTCTCCAAGTCTGGGCATTCCGGGGATTTAATCTGGTTTTGAGGATAGTTACTTTTCTGTACTTGGAACACAGCCCTGATTTGTCAATATTCATCTTGAGGGGCTTTCTGAAGTTCTTCTCTCTTTGAAAAAAGATACTGATATTGAGAGTGGTGAGCTGGCTTCCTAGCCAGTGGTTTGGGGGCATGTGGCATGGGAGAGGGCAGAAGCGAAGATGAACCAGAAGATGTTTCCTTCCTTCTGATTTCAGGCGCTCGTCCACCTGCCTGACTTTGCTCACGAGCCCTGGCTTTTTGCTGGCCAGCATCACGTAAAGGTCCATACTGTCCTGCTTTTTTGGTGAGGTAATCACAAATAAATGGCCCCTGCCAGGCAAGTGGTATCAGCGAGACTCAGAGCATTTTGCAAATATTAATAAATGATAAGAAGCGGGTTTATTGCTATGAATAAATCAGGAAGAACTTTCTGTGTCAGTAGCTTAATTGCTCCTTTCCCTCCTCTCATCAAAGTTAAGGGGAAGGGATTTGCCTCCCTTTTCTTTTAGGCATTTCCTTACCACCTTTCCTGCACCACTGGCACAGATGGTGGAAACCAGCTGACTTCATGTCTAACCAGCTTACATAATCTAGCCCCATTGTGGGGACGAGACCAGTGGGGTTTTTTTCCAGTGAGGCTTGCTGGTTGTGTGACCTGATTTCTGAGGATCCATGTTCACCACATGGTCAGCCATGTCTCCTGAGAGTCCCCATCTTTCCACCCAAAGACAAGGAAGGCAAGGAAGTTAATTGGCCGGGTAGGGTAAGTGCTGCTATTTCTGGAAGCTCTGTGAAAAGTGTTGCTGTTGCAAGAACAAGTCTCTGGGCCAGCAGTTCTCAAAGTATGGTCTGGGGACTTCTGAGCTCCACAATACTTTTTCAAGGGGTCTATGAGGTCAAAACTACTTTTATAATAGCTCTAAGACATTTTAATTTCTTTTTTAAATAATATTTTATTTTTTTCCCCAAATTACATGTAAAAACAATTTTCTAACATTCATTTTTTAAAAAGTTTTGAGTTCCAAATTCTTTTCTCCTTCCCTGCCCTCTCCCCTTTTTGAGATAGTAAATAATCTGATATAGGTTATGCATGTGCAATCATGTAAAACATTTGCTTTTTAACATATTATATATCAAGAGATATACATAGACAAAAAGTCTTTGTGTGGAGGGGATCCTCAATAATTTTTAAGAGTCTAAAAGACTGAAAGTTTTGAAAGCTGCTTGCCCAAGGCAATTCTTTGCTTTATTTGTTTTTAAATTTTTATTGATTTTTATTCTGAACTTAATAAACACCAAATAAAATGAACATTTCCATATACAAAGTAAAACAGCAAAAGAGGCATTGCATGAATTTTTTTTCAAGTGAAACATTCTCTTTTTTATGTGAAACTTCACATTTTCCTTTTCAGCATAAAATAAATTCAACATATAACTTTCAAAGTTGACTTATTTATCCTCATTTCCTTCTGGCTTTCCTTCTGCCCTCTTCTGTGCATTTTTAAAAACATGTTTCAATAAAAAATTGTTTTTCTTCTTTTTTAAATTTTAAATTTTATAATTTATTTTAACATTCATTTTTAAAAATTTTGAATTCCCTCTCTCCAGCTCCTCCCCACCCATTGAGAAGGCTTGCAATATTGTATCAATTACACACATGAAATCACACAAAACATATTCCCATATTAGTTGTATTGCAAAAAAAAATGCAAGAAAAAAGAAAATGAGAAAATTATACTTCAATTTGCACTTGAAGTTCATCTGTTCTCTCTCTGGAGGTGGATAGCATTTTTCATCATAAGTCCTTCAGAACTGTCTTGGAGAGTTGTATTGTAAATCGTTGACAGCTGATCATTGTTTTTTCTTCTTTTTCTACAACCCTATTACTGACTTCCCTTTATTCCCCTCCCATTAGAAAAAAAAAAGAAAAGAAACCAAAACAAACCTCTTGTAACAAATTCACGTGGTCAAAAATATCCCAAACTCCACAATTATCGTCTATGAAAATATATGTCTCATTCTGTACCTTAAATCTCTTACCTGTATGTCTGGAGGTGGTAGCATACTTTAATCATTAATCCTATAGTATTGAGTTTGGTCACTGCACTGATCAGAATTCGTTTGTGTGTTTGTTTTTTTGTGAGGCAATTGGGGTTAAGTGACTTTCCCAGAGTCACACAGATAGTGAGTATTATGTGTCTGAGGCTGGATTTGAACTTGGGTCCTTTTGACTCCAGGGTCAGTGCTCCCTACTGATCAGAATTCTTAAGTCTTTCAAAGTTGTTTTTATTGTATAAATTGTTCTCTAGGTTCACTTCTCTCTGAATCAGTGCACCTAAGTCTTCCCAAGTTTCTCTGAAATCATCCATTTCATCATTTCTTAGCATGTATTAAATTTGCTGTTATATTCACAAATGATCTCACCTACAGGGTTGACAAACCATCCTGACTGAAGCAGACAGAAACCCGGAGGGAGAGACAGGAGGTATCCTATACCAGGCAAGTCAAACCTTTGTCTTCTCAGACCTAGATAGAAACAGTCCAGTACCTAAATCCATGAGCCTTGGGAATAGCAGTACCTCCCAGACCACCAGTCCTGCTTCCAGCTCAGCCGCCACAATCATAACACAGGACAGTAAGTCCTATGGAGAAGTGGTCACCCATCCATACTAACTACCAGTCGATTGTCACCTATGGGGAAGAAAAGCTAGCCTAGCTTAAGTAGTAAGATCGCCTGAGAGATAGGAGTTGTTATGGGCCAGACAAGTCAAATCACCACTACTTGCTCAATTTCCAAATCCCCTAAGACCATGATGGAGATAATTAAGGACCCTGAACCCAATAGCCTTGGAACAGCAATACCCTCCAGATCACTGGTCCAATTTCAATCTCAGTCCTTACAACCATAATTAAAGGAGGTCTCATTGTGGAGAAAGGGTCTACATTCCTTGCCACCACCAATACCTACTTCTAACCATCCATTGGCAAGTAAATCCAATAATCCTTTGGGGGTGGTGACACCCTCCCCCACCCCCCCAACTCCTTGCTATTTTCAAATGATTCAACGTCAGAAACAAATAAGATTTTGTCAATGGAAATTGCATTGAAGATGATGCTTTGCCATATGCTTTACCACTGAGCTGTAAGCAATCTTAGAGTTAGCAAACCCATTTATCCAAGCAGCAGGTGAGCTCTTTCACCAAGAGTGCGATACACTCTCGGCTTGACCAAGGAGAGAATGGTCTCACTGGGAAAGCCTGCTCTTAGCAGTCTCTAGGCTTACAGGCGCTGGTAGTCATGGACATGCTACAGCTTGGCTTCCCTACTTGTCTCTAGCTATGGAGAGATATCTTATCTACCATTCACAAGTTTGCTGCCCCCTCTCAATCTCCCTTCTGAAATCTTTCCACACTTACTCTTCATCTTGGACTCAAGAGGTTTCTCAGCCAATCAGGGATCACATCTCTCTCTACTTCCTCCACAATTAGCATCACAGGGCTGCCCTTCTGCAAACTGCTCCAGCCTTGGTGTGGGAGTGGGCTTACACTTAATAAATGATTATTTTAAATATTGTGCAAAAATACACATTTATCCTTCTTATTTTTTAAACTTCCCATCTTGAAGTTGACATTCTGGTTATGGCATAATACAGCTGAAAGAGCACTGGGTTTGGGATCAGTGGCTCTGTGACATACCAATGCAATTATAGGGATCTCTCTGGGCCTCAGTCTTTTTATGGAATGATAGATTTAGAGCTGAAAGGGATCTTAGGGACTATCCAACTTCTTCATTTTTTACATGAAGAACTTAAATAAGTCACTTAAGACTTTTTAGGCCCTACTTCTTCATCTGTAAAATGGGTAGGTTAGCTCTAAAACTATTATTTTACAGGGTAGCATTTGCTGCATGAGCTGAGATCAGAACAGAAGTGTAAACTTGATCAATAACATCAGGCCATCGTGTAGTCATGGACCAAACACTTAGAAACCCCAGTCCTCAGCCAGACGACCCTTGGGCCAGCGAAAGAGACCATGGGGCCAGATGAGTTCGTTACAAAAAAAGCTCAACTAGTACATTCTTTGCACTTTGAGGCATTTGGGGTTTCATAAAATGTCTGTGTGGGTAAATTTTTTTTGCAGTCAGTCATCTAAAAACCTATGCTGTGTTCTTTTTGCAAACCCAGGACCAAACCCTTCTGCATGTCTGCTACTTTCCAAGCCTATTTTTTTGTAGGCTTTGCCAGGGAGGAGGGAGAAAGGGTTCTCTTCTATTCACTAGGTCTGACTTTTCTAAATTGGGGAGCATCTCTCAGGGTTAAGGATAGCATATAGTGAAAAAGATGCTATTGGTATTATAATTAGCAACAATAATAATAACTATTTCAATATAACTGACTTCCTTTGTAACCCTATATGTTTTGTTTAATTTATTTAAATAAATTATTCAGAGAAGAAGTACATGGGCTTTACCAGCCTAGGCCCTTGACGTAAAAAAAGGTTAAGAATCTCTGCCATAGATTGTCATAACAAAATTATTTCAACTTCTTAAAGATTTACCCACCCCAACCTATACTATGTTTTAACTCTTGCAACATGTGTACTTCGTAACAACAGCTGGCATTTATATGGTGCTTTTAAGTTTTCCCAAAGCACTTTACAAATATCTCATTTTATCAAGCATAGTAACCCTGCGAGGTAGGTGCTATTATTATCCCTATTTTACAGATGAAGAAACTGAGGCAGACATTGTTAAAAGATTGCCCAGGGTCATAATTCCAGTAAGAGTCTGAGGTCGGTTTGAAATGAAGTTTTCCTGACTCTAGATTTAGTGCTCTAACCATTATGGCTCCTGGCTCACCTGATCAGAGTACACCAGCCTGAAGGGCAGAGCACAGATGTTTTAAATACAAATGTGGTAGAACTAGAGAAACAAATACTGGAAGATAGCAAGAGGCCCCTTCCTTTGGGAGTTCTGTAGAGTGTGACTTGATTAAAAATCGCCATTTGCTTTTACTTAGACTTTCTTTTTTTCAGAGTTCACTGCATTTCCCCAGCCATGTCATTTCCCTTCACAACCTGCCTCTGGGTTCAGGACAGGGCAGGTTTTTAGAGAGCTTCTACTTCACTGAGAAAGAATATAAACTTCAGAGAGCTCACTCATGGTGGTATAGCAAGTCTGTGTAGGAAATGGAATCCTTGTCTTTGCTCTCTTATCTAGCCCTCTTCCCACTGCACAACCTTGCCCATGCATGTAATACAAAGTCACACTGTATTGTATGAGGCTCATAATGTGTTTGGGGAGTCCTTGTGATTGGGCAGGTCCGAGGTATGAGTCAATACGCTCAAGATTAGTGCATGTGGAGCAAAAATAGCTGTACAATTTTTTTTCCCTATTGCCTCCTAAAGTTAACAATCTTAGGGAAAGGGGCAGTACTCTTTCAATCTGTTATCATTCCAGATTTTTCAGAATGGGAAGGTGTTTTGGTTTTGTGTTTGGTAACAAACAAAATGTGGTCTAATGTGGTCCAGGTTTCTGTGACCTTCAAAGAAGTTGATTCTAATGCCTTTTGTGGATGCTTTGGAGGTCCCTTTTGCTATGTAAGTAGGTCCTACCTGGTGTTGTTTATTGATTCCAAGAAAATAAAACTTTGGGTAAAAATGCACAGCAGGGGAACTTAGCTATACAGTGATTGTGTTGTGAATGTAATTACATTCCTGAGCAGCCATAGTTTGTGCTATTTTAACCACCAGGTGTCACTGTTAGCCACTAACCTGATTCTCTTCAAGATAAATCAGGACCTGAGGTGTCCCATGCTCACCTTTGTGGTTATGAGGTTATCCTTCTGAGCAGAAGTCTCAAGTTTTCATTGGTTCTCAGATAATGGATTATGTTCTATTCCTAGTATCCTCTTTATAGGTGGCCATGCCAACTAACTATCTAGGAAGTCATTAATTATTGTGAATTTACTGAATCAGAATCAACTTTGAGCCTTTATCGTACTATAAAAGCTGGTCTCCTCCCTAAAATTTCTATATTTCACTGAGTCTTAATCATGTGGCCTTCCCATAATGGATCCACCTCTTCCTAGTGACAGACAAAACATATTTTGATACTGTATACAGTATTTTATTCTTGGCATAAAATTAATCAAGGCAATAAAACTATATTTGATAATGTAATAAAGTATATATAATAAATTATGAAACATAAAAAAGCCGTAAAACTTCTGCTTAGAGTCTCTTGCCCACCTTAGCAGTTTCCAAATGATATATAGGATACTCTGAACCCCAGAGTTCTAGGACATGCTCAATTCTGTTTGCTTTGACCTACAAACAAGCAGGGAATGTACACAATTCAATACAGTTCACTACTGATGTTTTACAAGGTCATTCAGTAGGGCTGATTAGTAGGGTCATTTACTCAGGAACTCTAGACTTAAGACACCTCATAACTCAGGGTATGGACTCAAGATTCAGTGCAAATTGAAATTCTTGTCATCTGGTTGTGGTAATTACCCATTAAGTGTTCTGTCACTGTCAGAGACTTCTGGTTGCTTCTCTCTAAAACAAAAAATAACATTTAAAATATGCATTTATTGTCTCTCCCTCCCAAACCCTCATCCCAATTGAACAGGAAAAAAAGTAAAATAAAAGTAAAACCCTTATCACAAATATGCATAGTCCAGCAAAACAGATTCCTGCATTGTTAATATCCAGAAATGTATGTCTCATTATACATTTTGAGTCTATCACCCCTCTGATAGGAGGTGGGTAGTGTTTTTCATCTTCTGTGCTCTGGGTTCATGGTTTGTCATCACATTGACCAGAGTTCTGAAGTTTTTAAATGTTGTTTTTCTTTATGATATTACTGTCATTATATAAATTGTTCTCTAGTTCTGTTCACTTCATTCTGCCTCAGTTGATAAAGGTCTTCCCAGTTTCCTCTTAAACAGTCTATTTTTTCATTTTTTTATGGTATAATAATATTCCATTACCACCACTTGTTTAGCCATTCCCCAAAAGGTAGGCATCATTTTAGTTTATGGTTTTTGGTTATAATAAAAGAACTACTATATTTCTGTACATTTAGGTCCTTTTTTAAAAACTTTCTTGAATCTGTTTGGGTTATAGACTTAGCAATGGCATTGCTTGGAAATCCTTGGAAAGCAAAGTTTAGTCATTTTTAGGGCAGAGTTCCAAATTGCTTTCCAGAATGACTGGACCAACAGTGATTAGTGGGCTTGGTTTCCTTTAGCCTCTCCCACATTTGTAATTTTCCTCTTTCCTACTTTTTTCCCCCACTGCTTCTCTTGAGATTCTTGACAAATGTCAAGACAAATGTCAATGGCAAATGTTCCTCAATATGAATTTAATTATTATTTTTCTACTTATATGAAATAATCCTTCAGTAGTTTGGCATTGAATAAGTAAATTAATCTAGGTGATATTTTGTTTTTAATTATATTGTATTGACCTATCCATGAATAATTAATATTTCTA